ATATATAATATAAATATATAAAAATATAAATAATATACATATGTAAGTTAAATGGTGTAACCCTCCCCTGGTTGCTTTATTTTACACAGAGGTTCAGGTTTTTTATCAGATCCATCTCTAGGAAGCAGAAATTTTGGGTGGAAATAAATAACATTCCAAGATGAGTTTATACCACCCTCCACCATACAGGTATTCAGGTAGGAATTTGTATTTCTGATACCAATTTCTGTTGTATTTCTAATTTTTATTTTTAATTTGTATTTCTAATTTGTATTTCTAATTTGTATTTTTAATTTCTGTCTCTGCTCTGTATTTCTGATCTCCAGGTCAGTAACAATAACAGGCACTGAAAGGCCTTAAAAAGCTTCTACAGAGCACAATTAAATATGAAATATAGAGAATTTGTGTATCTACTGGTCATTTTTTTCTGACATATTGGGGGGGAAAAAGTAAGACACTTTGAGGGGGAAAAAAGAAAGGTCTGAGCCCAACCCCGAGGGGTTTTATAGGGCTGTGGCTCTTTCATAATTCATAATTTCCCCTGGGAGAAACCTCTTCAGGACCCGAGTTTATCCAGCTAAAAGGGTTTAGGTCCCTTGGTAGGAATTTATCTCCATGTTGTCGACTGTTTCCTAAACCACTCCAAACCAGGAATATCCGAGGGAAAACAAGAGGATCACGTGGTTCAGCAGGACACACCACTCCAGACCCTCTGGATTTGGGATCCCCCCGTGAGGGGAGGGAAAAGGGAACCGGGGACTCTGCAGAGGTGTCCTTGTGCAGGGATACCTGACAGCACTCCGCTGAATTCCCAGCATTCCCAAGGGGGAAAACTGGTAGGAATTTGCTTGGAAAACATGAGATAAACGTCAGAGGGAAAATCCCGAGTTTTCCAGCCAGCCCTGGGCTCGGGACACCAAAATGGGACAAAAATAATGTCACTTATACTGTGTTTGTACCACTGAAAGGTTTAACAGACCCTTTGTCACCTCTCAGCTCCAGCTGGGGGTTGTTATTTTATTTGTGTTTATTTAACCTTTAATTATTCCCAAGAAATTTAGGGAAGCGGAAGGTGCCACATTTTGGAAAGGGAATTAAATGGTGATCCACTTGTGGGATCCCTGAAGAGCGTTTCCATTGTTGTGTCTGGATCTCGTGCTCGGAGAGGCTTGATTTGCCTTGGAAGAACTTTTTGCTCTTTAACGAGCACAAACCCAGCCCATAATCCCGTTTTTCTCCTTCAGGATTCTATGGATACTCTGGAATAGAGCATCCAAAGTGTGCCCTGTCCACAGCAGGGGGAGAAGTGGGTGTGGGCAGGGGTGAGGGGGATGGTTTTGCCCTTTAAAAATTAAAAAAAAAAAAAAAAAGGAGAAAAAGCAGCATTTAAATTAAGGCACGGGAAGAACACGCCGAAATAAAGAGGAGCCCTTTCCAAGAGGCTCCGGGTTATTTTGAACAAAAGCACGTTCAGAAAGGTTTTTAGAGGCTTTAATGCCGCGCCCAGGAACAACACCTCGGACAAACCCCACGAAGGAAACATTCCCAGGGCAGCTCCACAGCAAAAAAACCCCACAAAGTCTC